CCTGAATAGATATGTGGGCACAGCTGGCAATGGGCTTTGTTGCAAGGATAGGTTCCTGGGTTAGTGGTTCTGTTGTGTGGTGTGTGGTTGCTGGTGAGTATTTGCTTCAGGTTGGGGGGCTGTCTGTAGACAAGGACTGGCCTGTCTCCCAAGGTTTGTGAGAGTGTTGGGTCATCCTTCAGGATAGGTTGTAGATCCTTGATGATGCGTTGGAGGGGTTTTAGTTGGGGGCTGAAGGTGACGGCTAGTGGCGTTCTGTTATTTTCTTTGTTGGGCCTGTCCTGTAGTAGGTGACTTCTGGCTCTATCAATCTGTTTCTTCACTTCCCCAGGTGGGTATTGTAGTTGTAAGAATGCTTGATAAAGATCTTGTAGGTGTTTGTCTCTGTCTGAGGGTTTGGAGTAAATGCAGTTGTATCGTAGAGCTTGGCTGTAGACAATGGACCGTGTGGTGTGGTGTGGTCTGGGTGAAAGCTGGAGGCATGTAGATAGGAATAGCGGTCAGTAGGAAGGAAAGGGCCTGGGGCCAGGGGAGCGGAGGCTGATTGAATCTCACATCCCAGGCGATGGTCGGGATACAACTGGAACCAGAGGAGCTGGTGATGTCATCTGGGTCCCTATCTTTGCCCTGGCTGGTCAGGACTCCTGTGAGGCCCCATGGGGTCCCAGGAAAGGGTGGGCGTGACAGCCCCGATAGAGGAGCGTGCTTCTTCCCTTTCTTTCTGTCAGCCAGCATTGCAGTAGCCAGCCTTCCCCCCCAGGGCTCTGTCAGAGGACCCAAAATGAGGGTGAGGGGTGAAATAACCCCACCCCTCGATGTTTTGTCCACCAATTTCCGGCACACCCATTTTGCTCCATTGATTCCTAGGCACTTCTCCTGTGTGCCTGGCATGATCTCCCACAGGCCTTGGGCTCCAGCAGAAGGCCACCACATTTGCGGGAGCTCTGGCTGACTTGTGCACCTCCTCTCAACCGCGGTTGTTGCTGTCGGTTATTGTGAGATGTGGTGAGCGTTCGCTCCCGGCTGAGCACACGCTGAAGGTGTGTGTGGGCCCAGCGGTCCCGATGCCACTGGGCTCTCCTGGGAATTCTTTCAGCCCCCACCGTGGGACCGCGGTGGAGAACAGGCCGCCCTGGGGGTGTGGGGCTGGAGTCCTGCTCGGGGCAGCCCCACCCATGCCCCTGATAGCGCTCACCTGCCAGGTTTGCCCAGCAGCTAGTGTCCTGAAGCCCCACCATGTGGGGATGGATGGCGGCTGAGCTCTGCCCTGGGTTGGGGGTGCAGCTCTGGCTCTAGCCTGCCCTCTTGGTGCCGTGTCGCTGGCTGGCACTAGCTGGTGAGCCAGGGGAAGGGCAGCTGAGCAGCTGCCCAAGGAGCAGGGCAGGGAGCCCTTGCAGTGGGGTAGGCCTCCTGCATTCCCAGCAGGCATTGCCAGGAGCAAGCAGGTAGGTTCAGCCCTGGAGGCAGAAGGGCTGCAGCTGGCAGCGTCTGGCCACCTGGGCTGGAGAGCTCGCAGAGCGCTGCCCTGACCTGTGCCGTTAGGCCTGGAAGCAGCTGCTTGGCAGCCCATCTCTGTCATCCCTCTTCCCCCTCCCCTGCACTCAGTGGTTCGTGAAGGTCAGGGCTGGCAGGGGCTAAGCAGCTGGAGCAGTTTGCACTCCATGGTGTCTGATCATCGGAGTTACCCGAGTGCTCTGCTTCCTGGAGCATCTCCACAGGGCCCGATCCTGCCTGAGCCACGCAGCACAATTCCCACCGATGCCGGGGCAACAGAGGGGCTCAGCCTGCTGGATGAGAGCCCTGAGAGCGCTCCTCGTGAACGCAGGGCTGGCCTGGCCCCACAGTGCTGCTGGCACGCTCTCCGATAGCCGGAGTGTGTCCCACGTGCTTCGCAACTCAGCCGTCCCTTCCGCCAGCACCCAGCCTCTCCGCCAGCCCCCTCACTCCCTCCTTACTGGCAAAGGGTCTGAATTAATACTGCGTAGTGACTGAGCTGCCTGGGGTTTACAGCCTTGAGCCTGGCAGCCCGCTGCGTCCTGCTACGGCTGCCTGGGGATTGGGCAGGGACTGGGGCTGGGCAGAGCTGCCGGAACTGGGGGGGGCTGCTGCACCCCCTGGCTTGACGTGGTTTCTGTCATATCCAGGGTTTACAGTTTGCTTCAACGGCTCTCAGCACCTCCCCTACAAATAGTTCCAGCACCTCTAGGTTATAGACGCCCCCTGCACGGTACCTGCCCTCCGCACTCAGGCCCTGCGCGATGGGCCAGGAAGGGAGGCAGTGAGTCACGCTAACAAATGGCTGCTTTGTTTGCGCGGGAGCCGGCCTGACTGGAGCAGTAAATCCGCTGGTTGGCCGAGGGAGCGGCACTGCTGCGGGGCCTGTGACAGCGAGAACGGCCCCGTCCAGTCTACCAGGGGATGTGTTAGGCGCTCAGTGACCGGGTGCCAAGGGTAACGCAGCCGCACAGCAGCTGGTGGTGGCTGACCCCTGGCAGCGCGGGAGGGGCAGCTCCTGGGCTGCAGTAGGGCTAGGTGTGCCGGGCCAGTGCCTCTGCTGCGAGGGAGGGTTTCCTCTGTCCCCTGGGCATGTCGAAGGTGCTCACCGCCGTGGGATCCAAGTGTCCTTGGATGGGATGTAAAACAGAGCTCCAGGCAGCCTGGTGCTATTAGAGATTGTGACAAAGTGGGACTGTTCTTAATGTTTCCTCTGAATACTGTAGGGGTGCCTCAGTTTCCCCTGTGCATTTCTTAAATCTCTCGATGGTGGGATTAAGGGAGTGTAATTGTTGCAGAGCAAAGGGCCAGGGTACATAAATGGCCGACACTCTGTCTCCTGGCAGCTGATGGCCTGTGCCCTTCCCCTCTGCAAGGTGAGAGCTAAAGGGTTGGAGAACAAAGGAATCCGGTGACCTCCTGGCCCGGGAAAGGGACAAAGCCCAGAGGAGGAGGGGCTGGAGGGGGAGTCAGTTTGGGGTTGGCTGGGGACGAGGAGTGAAGGGCAGACGTGGTTGTCTGGCTCACTGCCCCCCAAAATGGACCCGACTGAGGGGTCCTGTTCTCTCTACCTACAAGCTCCTGTTTTAGACCATGTTCCTGTCGTCTAACCTCCTGTTTTACTGGCTGGCTGAGAGTCACGTCTGACTGCGGAGTTGGGGTGCAGGACCCTCTGGCTTCCCCAGGACCCCACTTGAGCGGACTTGCTGGGGGAAGCGCACGGAGGGGCAGAGGAAGCTGAATGCTCTGAGTTCAGACCCAGGAAGGTGGAAGCTGGGTGAGCTGTGTGTCCTGCAGACAGGCTGCTCCCGGAGAGGAGACCTCACCAGAGTCCTGCCTGGCTTCGTAGGGAGCAGCTCCAGAGCATCGCCCGGAGACTCGGTGACAGAGATCCCTGGGCCCTGCTCTAGAGCCAGACATGACCCCAGCATCCTGGCTGCATCCTGTGCTGGAAATGCGCTTTGCCCCTCTGAGATCCTCTGGGGCTGGGCTGGACCCAGGGTTCCGCTGGTGGGCATAGCACAGCAGGGAGAGCATGAGACAGATCGCTGCCCCTGGCATCATCACTGGGTCTCAGCACGTGGCTGTGACCGCTGGCAGCGCTGGGCGTCCCTGGGCCTGTCCTGCAGTGCCTGGCGATGCTGGGTCTCGGCACGTGGCTGTGACCGCTGGCAGCGCTGGGCGTCCCTGGGCCTGTCCTGCCCGGCGACGCCCCGGGGGGCTGGTTCAGGGTGGGACAGGATCCCCCATGCAGTGCGTTGCGGTTACCTCTGAGGGGCTGGGAACTGCTGTGACCGTGCGATGTGGAAGCATGAGCTGCTGTTGTTGCTAGGACTCTGTGCCAGCCTGTCTCTCTGCGGGGTCCCAGGAGACTCTGTAGATAAGAGCCTTTCAGCGCCTTCTGTGTCCCTGTGCCCAGCGGACACATCGGCTGCTGGGTGGGAATGTGCCTTGCTCTGGAGAACCGGGGGAGCCCAGGGCAGAGCCTGGACTGGGTGAAAGGTTTGCGACCCAGGTCTGTTCGCTGTCTCTTGGGCAGAGGCGCAGGCTGGCATAGGACCCACTTGAGGGGGACCGCCGTAATGTGGGAAGGGGCAGCCTGGCTTCCTCATGCAAGTGGAGAGCAGTCCCCAGGCTCTGACTCCATCCCATCAGTCAGCCCCAGCTTTGATCCATGTTGCAGATGATGCTCTGGCTCCGGCTCCAGCAGCTGTGCCCCGGGGCCTCTCCCCCGCTCCAAAGCTGCAGGTGCCCCAGGCCCTGCCTGTGCCCTGCTGCCCCTCCCAGGACCCAGGGGTGACACCTAGCCTATGAGCGCCATGTCAGGGGCTGGTTAGTGTGTCCGGCCCTTGGTCCAGATCCCTTGGAGAGTCGCTGAGACCGCTCCATCTCCAGTGCTCATGCGGCAGCTTGCAGTGCCCAGCGTGGCCCTTTGCCTGCCTGGTGCAGGCCCGGGGAGGTCCGGCCGGGGCACTGGGGTTGAGCTGGGCGTGTGGTGTGCTGGCCTTGTTTTGGGGAGGTGCCATGTGACTGTCCCTGTGTGGGGCAGCGTGCCCTGGCAGGAGCAGTGAGCATGACCAGCATGTGAAGGGTTCCCAGGGAGCCAGCAGCCAATGCACCAGCCGTGGCTGTGCCCTGCCCCCTGTCTCGGGACCCCAGTGGCACAGCAAAGCCAAGGGAGGTTAGTAATGGGAGAGGCCCAGCTGCAGCGTGGAGGCCCGATCGATAGTTCCCTGCGTCCCCAGGGCTGTTAATCCATCTCCTGGGCTGATGGCCGGCATGCGGGCCCAGGAGCTCACCCCATTTATCAGCCTGCTTGCTCGCTCCACACAGAGACTGCAGCCAGCCAGGCTGCCAAGCTGCAGAGTGTGCAATGGGGCAAGTTCCTGAATGGAGCAGCCAGTCCTGCGAGCCGTCACACTGAGCCGGGCTGTTGGGTAGGGCGGGGGGGGGCCCAGCCTGGGCACCAGGGGGGGTAGCTCACAGCCCCATGTATGTCCCCACAGCTGTTGGGCGGTGAAAAGCCCAGGAGCAGCCTGCAGGAGCCCCGCTTCGACTACTCCGGCTGGCAGCCTGCTGAGCTGGACCTCAGTGACTCGGAGCTGCCCCATGTCATCGAGATCTACGACTTCCCGCAGGACTTCGGCACCGCTGACCTGCTGCACATCTTCTGCAGCTACCAGTGAGTCCCCCCGGCCCAGGCAGAGACCACCGCCCCCAGAGTCCTGCACGGTCGCTCTGCGCCAGAGGCCAGGAATCTTGTCCCCGACCCTCCCCCCAGCAGCCCCCAGCTCTGCAAGCTCCTTTGCCAGATTTGCACGCCCCCGAGATGGCCACAGAGCTCTGGATCGAGGCCTTCCCCAGCCAGTTCCCGCTCCTGCCCGCTGAGCCTCTGGGCTCTGCCTGTCCTCCCTCCCGAAATGGCGCTGCAGAAAGTGCTCCAGCCTTGTCTAGCCCCTCCCCAGGGTCCCTGTCCTTGGCGGCCCCGGTGCCCCCTGTCCCTCGCCCCCACGGTGCTGATGCCATCGATGCCTCAGATTTCAGCTGCTCGCTCTCCCTGGCAGGAAAAAAGGCTTTGACATCAAATGGGTGGACGACACGCACGCACTGGGCATCTTCTCCAGCCCCATTGCAGGTACGTGCACCTCCAGAGCTGGGGCGGGTGCAGCTGTGAGGCCCCTGGGTAAAGTCCTGCCCATTGCTGGTGCCCAGGCTGGAGTCTCTGCTGAAGGAGCAGCCTGGGTGAGATGGGCAGTGCTGTGTCCACCCGCTCGCCCCCAGGGTGCTAGGCGCTGGGCTCCGTGTGCTGGCCACAGGGCTGGCTGACCTGCCTGGGCTCCTGCTGGGACGGGCAGGGCTGTGGATCAGCGACTGGCAGACAGCCAAGCGACGCTGTTAGTCGTCCGGCGCCATGTCCCCTGCCCGCAGTGGGAAAGGCTGGCCGCTGAGACTGCCAGCTGTGGCTGCTGGGGTGTTCTTGGGTGTGCCCTCCCCCCACCTGGCACAGCCTGGGGCTGGTTTCGTTGTTCTGCTGTTGCCTGTGGGGCATGGGGAGGCTGGGTCCAGGTGCCCCGGCACTGGTCTCCGGGTGGGCATGGGCTGCTCGGGCATGGGCATGGCACAGAAATGGGACCTTGCCCGGCGTGCTCCTTTTCCCTTACCGCAAGGGCAGGCTGGGCACGGCACTGCTGAGCCTGGGGGCCAAGGAGCTGGGAGAGCCCTGTTGGTCCCTGTTCTCAGGGCTTGCCCGGCAGGCTCCCCGGCTCTTGGTGCAGCTCCCTTGGGGGTCCCTCCCTGACTCTGGCCCCCGCCCTCTTCCCGCAGCGCGCGACGCCCTGAGCAGCAGGCACGTGATGGTGAAGACCCGGCCCCTGGCGCAAGGCACAAGAGCAGCCAAAGCCAAAGCCAGGGCTTGTGCTGGTGAGTGCGGAGGGGGCGACCTCCCCATCCCAGCTGCTGGGCTCCAGGAGTGGAGTCATCACATGGGAATGCTGCTGCAAGGGTCTGGGGCCGCGCAGCGCCCGGATCGCGGCTCAAGTGGCCCACGGGCAGGGCAGTGTTGGAGCCAGGAGAGAGCTGTACCTCCCCCGTGCTGTGCTCAGAGTGCCCTGCAGGGTCAGGGTGCGTGGGACTGGCCATGGATGCCAGCGTCTGGTTCGGTCTGCCGTGATCCCCTGGGAACAGATGGCTGCTTGCTCCAGTCCCGGTGCTAAGCGGCCTGGCATGGGGAGGATAGTTGCCTGCATGGCCCAGAGCAGGGAGGTGCCCACAGGGCGGGGACCGGACAGGGAGCAGGGCTAGGACTCATCTGGCCCCAGTGCAGCCAGCCGCATGGGGGAGCCCACTGTAGACAGGGCCCTGGCGTCTGGCAGCGATCACAGTGCGGGGCGGGTTAGCGCTCCCCACAGCCAGGCCTGGGACACGCATCCCTGCTAGCTCCGTGCTGCAGTCCCTGGGGTGATGGCTATCTCCTCTCTCCAGACTTCCTGCAGCCAGCGAAAGAGCGTCCGGAGACGTCTGCGGCCCTGGCCCGGAGGCTGGTGATCGGAGCCCTCGGAGTGCGGAGCAACCAGAGCCGAGCCGAGCGTGAGGCCGAACGCAAGAAGCTGCAGGAGGCCCGAGGTTGGCTCCTAGCTGCTGCTTTCCTGCTGCGGGGTGTGGAGCTGCCCCTTCATCCCTGCAGCCTGGGCTGTTCGGCTTGCAGGCGCTGGGGGTGGCACGTCGGGGCAGTGGGGGCATGCAGGGGTTTCTCAGCCGTCTGCTGCACGCTGCCCGCTTGCTGCTGCTGGCTGTTCAGGGAGAGCCTGGCCCAGGCCTCGCTGTCTGCTTGTGGAGAGCCGACAGGCTGGCTGGCTGCACCTGCAGCCACGCTGGGATCTGTGCTTGCGTGGGAGAACCCGGGGAGCTGCAGGCGCTGCGGGAAGCAGTGCTGGTGTTCAGTGCTCTTCACTAGGGGGCGGCTGAGCCCTGACCCTGGGCCTTGCCCCCAATTTGGGCCCTATCCCAGGCATTCTGGCCAAATTCCCTCTGTGGAAAGTAAATCCCCCTGCCGTTTGTGTGGGGGGTTAGGCATTGGCCCCAGCCCACCCCAGAGGCGGCTGCAGCTTCGTGGGTGGGGAAGTGCGGGCGGAGCGGCTGGTGAAAGGCTGTGGCACGGTGGTGCTGGGCAGCGTTGGTTAGATGCCAGTTTGTGCTACCCCCTGGCCCTTGGCCGCTCTGGGAGTGGGGCAAGCAGTGAGCCCGGGCAGCGGAGCCCCACGACCAGCCCCTGCGCTTCAGCTCCATGCCCACCTCGTTCCTGGCACAGCTTGGTGCTGCCAGGACGTGGGCCAGGCTTTGGGCAAATGCTGCCCACATGGCCAGTCCGGGCACTCCTTCCCTCCCCACACGGGGATGCAGGGTTGGTGGGGAAGCCATTCCCCCAGCTCACTGGCCAAGCTGCCTGGCTCCTAGCCCCGGGCTAGCCCCGCCGGGGGCCGCTCTGTGCTGCTTCACAGACCAGAGCACGGTGGGGCCAGGAACAAATCCTGGGTCCTGCCTCGTGTAACCCCAGCAGGCCCCACACTTGCATTTGGCGAGTCCCTGGGGCTGGCGGCTCCCGCAGATTGTCCAGTGGCTCCTGGCCCTGCCCGCCCAGGGCTGCACACTCCTGCCCCCGTCCTGGCTTAGCCCGCTCCACCAGCCCTCCTCCCACGTCAGCACTGCCCGGCCTGGCTCCTTTCTGCCCTGCCCCATCTGTCGCTGGGTGCGTGCGCTGGGTGAGGTTGGCCCAGGGCATTGTGCAATGCCAGCTCCTCTCTGGTCCTGCCCGCAGGCTTTCCCCTCGCTCTGAGGCGGGGTCCCTGTGCCATGGTGCCCTCACTCGCCACTTGCTGGTGCTTGCAGCCCCTCCCCCATTTAGTGCCTGCTGCAAATCTCATTGCCTGTCTTGGCTAGCTCCGGGAGAACGATGGTGGGGCCTGTTCCCTGCAGTGCCCCCCGGGCCTTGCCCAGCTCAGCCCTTTGTTGCTGGTTGAAGGGGGAGCGCTCTGCCTGGGGGTGTGCAGGCAGCTCTGGGAAGGGGGAGCGGGTTCTCCACCCCAGGACCTGTCTTCGGCTCCACGGTTTGCAGCCCCACCTGGGGCAGCATCTGGCAATCGGCTGGGCTGCTGGGCAGAGCCTGCTGCAGGCTGTCAGTCTGCCCGGCCCCCTCTGGCAGGCATGGCAGCTGGCTCGCGGCCCTCCAGCTGCAACGGCCAGATAACCGGTGATGGAGCGAGCCGGGCGGGCCAGGAAACAGACCGAGTGTAACAAGGTCACGGTGAATGTCCAGAGCGTGTCTGTCTGTCATGAGCATGGAACGGGCCAGGAGATTAACCCTTACCTGTCTGCCTGCCACGAGAGCACTCTGCCATTCGTGGTGTGCCCATGTGTGCCTGCCTGCCCGTGCAGACCCTCGCCCCCTGCCCAGGCCCCCTCCCTCCTGCCCACTTGTGGGGTGGTGTTAGTGCTCTCTGGGACTAGGAGTCCCTGCCACTCTTACCCAGGGCATGATGGTGCTGCCTGGGGGGGGGGGGGGCGGGGAAGGGGCACAGTGGCAGGGAAAAGCCTGGAGCTGAGCAGAGACTTCCCATTCCTGTGGGTCCACCCCACTGCGCCCCTCGGAATAGCTGAGTGAGGGGCCCCCTCAGGCCAGGGGCAACTGCCCTCCCCACCTGCCTCTGGCAGCAGGTGCATTTCTCCTGGGCTGCAGGGATCAGCTCGTGCCACTAGGTGGAGCCCAAGCAGCGCGCTCGGTGTGGGGCACCAGAGCCAGCTCACAGGTGGGGGTGACAGACAGGCTGGGAGCTCCCAGGCCCCCCTTTCCGGCCCTCTGCCTCACTGCTCTCAGCCCCAAGAGCCCCTGCCCGTCTAGTGGATGGCCTGGGAGGGGTGCTGCAGTAGGGTAGCAGGAGCGGGGGGCATGGGACATGGGACACGCTGTGGCTGGGACAGCCGGGGCTGGTGCGGGCCCTTGCTCGGAACCCAGGGGCCTGGAGCCAAGCTTCACCCTCCCTCCCTTGTCTCTGCAGAGAGAAAGCGCCTGGAGAACAAGCAGCGGGAGGACATCTGGGAAGGCCGGGACTGAGCCAGGGCTGCAGCAGAGACGACCAGAGCACCCAGGGCTGCTGGCAGGCACATGATGGGGGGGCACTGTGGTGCCATGGGTTTCAGATGCCAGTGCAGCCCAGTGCCAGCTGCACCCACGCAGGCTGGCCAGGCTGTGTCCGAGGGGGGAAGGGGAGAGGCCTGTCTGGAGCCTGGCGCGGGGGAAGCGGGGTCTGGCTGACAAAACACAGCAGCTGTTTGTATTAGGACTCTTAGTGGGAGGAGCCTGGCAGGCCCTGCCGCCGGCTGTGTGCACCCTGGAAGGGGGCCTTGGCCTGCCCCGTCCCCGTCCCTTGCCCTTTGAGACCCTGGAGTACGGGGAGTCAGTGATCTGGGGCAGGAAGGGTTTGAACGCTGGGCTGGGGCAGCGAGAGCTCAGCTGAGTCTGGTGGCTGTGCCCTGTGCCTGGCACTGCCCAGGCTATGCTGGTGCTGGGTAACGCTGTCCTGACACACTGGCTGCAGCCTCGTTTGCTGCTGGGAATGTGGCCTCCAGGCTGCCCAGCTCGCTCTCAAGATGGTAACCCCCTTGCTCCCTGCAGCAGCCTGGACCATGCAAACAGCCCTGGGCAGCGGGAGGGGATTTTGCAGGACTCTGCGTGAGCTGTGCTTTGGTGAGCCGTGCCGTGCTGTGCTGTGCCGAGCCGAGCCAACGCAGCCTGGGGGCGTGCCAAGCATGAGTGAGTGAGAAGCCGTGTGAGATGGAGATTCCCTGTCCTTTATTTTGCTATTAAATTGCCTGGTTTTTACACTGCCCAGAGGCTCTGGGCTGCAGATCTCTGTACTTACCCCTCGTAACCCTGGCAAAGGAGTGATATGGGGGGCAGAGGGAGCTACGCTCCCTTGCAACTGGCCGTCTCAGCACCTGGAGAGGCTGTTTAGGACAGTGGCAGAAGTGCTGGAGCTGGGTATTCCTGGTGAAATGGTCAGTAGTGAAATGGTTAATGTATGGACATTTAACACAGTATTAGGTTTCAGAGTGAACAGCTTCAACGCGATGGGCTCAAACTGGCATTGCAGGGTCAGGTTCTCGCGGGGAGGGCGTGGTGCTGTAAGGGCGGGAGCCCCCCGTGCCATGCACTGGGAGTCAGGGGTACCGTTCTGCCTGCAGAGCACACAGCAGGTGCGCACCGGAGGCCTTTTGCACTGCCCGGGCATCTCTCCTGCCCTGTGGGATGGGGCCTGGACAGCAAGGGGTTAACAATGTCAACCTGAATGAGAGGTGAGACAGGCAGGCACTGGGGAACCCTCCCTCCCTCAGCACTTGGAGCCGCTGGCTGCCCTGGCCTAGCTGGCCCCTGGCCCTGCCCTGCCCTGCCCTGGCTACTGCACCAGTTTGGGTCCCACATGCCACTTTCCTGAACGTTTTTATAGAAAACCCAAACCCTTTCTGCTCAGTCACTCTGAGAAGGAGCCCCAGGGCTGCGGTCCGTGCGCAGGGTCCTGCAGGCTGCGGGGCCGGTGAGACGCCTCCCGGGTACCTTGGGAAACGGGACAGTTTCAAGGGGTTTCAGTCAGACCCTCCTGGTGTCTCCCAGCCAGGACCCGGCCCCAGGAGGTCCCACCTAGGATGGGGCACTGGGGAAGTTGGGGCCTGCTGGGAAGCTTCCCTACAAGCTGGTCCCATCTCAGAGCTCTGTGAGCGCCGGGCCGGGCTGTCACGGGCTCTCAGGTCGTGCCCACTCCTGGCCCGTACAGTCCCTGGGGAAACCCCTTCAGTGTGACAGCCCTTCTCAGGGGTCCACTCTTTCTCGGAAGCCCCTCTGCCTCCTGGAGCTGCACCTCTCTGAGCCTTAGCCCACCTGTCTCTCGGCGTGGGCCCCTCAGGGAGTCCACTCACTCTGGAGCCCTGGAGCCTCCACTCCCAGAAGGAATAATGCCCCCTGTTCTCTAGACCAGAGCGACTATCAGCTGGCGTCAAACAGGAGGGTTTATTGAGCGTCTGAACACAATATAGGAAACTCTCAGGGCTGTCAGGCCTGGCCTCCCTCAGCACAGCACATCCAAGTCTCCCCTGCATCCAGGGGAGTTCTGCTTGCTCCCTTTCTCCAGCCCTGAGCCCCCCTGCTGCCCAGCTGGGCATCCAATATCACCGACCCCAAGCCCCCCTCTGTCCATTGTCTTCTCTCCAGGTAAACAGGGTCACCTGGGCCTCCTCTGTCCTCTGGCCCCCTCTGGCCAGACTGGCTGGTCAGGTCACCGGGGTCCTCTCTCCGCAGCCCATTGTCCTCCCACTGGCCAGAACCGGCTGTGACTCCCGAGCTGGGCCTCCGGGTCCCCAGGTCACCAGTCACTGGGGTTTCCATTCTCCAGGCCATTGGCCGGGGTCCCAAGTTCCCTCGCTAGTCCTGTGTCCTACAAACCCCCTCTCCCATCCCCTCGTTAAACCAGTAACACCCAGGGACACTGAGTCCCACCCCTTCGGCATGCAAACCATTGACAAAACCAAGAAAATCCCCCCCCTTTGTCGCACGGGCCCGCTCGGGGGCTCCCGGGGGAACGTGGCCGGCGGGCAAGCAGGCGGGGCACCCTGCCTCTGAAGGAACGGCTCCAGCAGTGAGCTGGCAGCCGCTGTGCCCTGTGACCACCACGTCCCGTAAATAGCAGCCAACATTTAGTGCAGCACGAGCGTCGGCTTCCGCCTCTCTCTGTCGGAAAGGTCACGGGCTGGTTTCCGGGCACTTGGCCACGGAGCAGCCCCAAACAAGGGGCCGTGTGTGCTGTGTGCACAGGGGAGGAGAGCGGTCGAGAGCCCTGGCACTGAGCTGGGTCTGGACCTGGGCAGCAGGGACCTCGGGGGAGCAGCTCCACTGACTCCTGCTCCTGCTGGGCCCAGCTCTAGCTGGATGCAGCTGCCAGGGCTGGGGATGGGTGCTGGCAGTGCCCAGAGGGCCGGGGGAGGTGAGGGCTGCTGTGCCAAGAGGTGCTGCCTGGGGCCCGTAGGCGGCAAGGCGCAGTGGGCACCATGCTCCTGCTGCCACTGTGGGGGGGCACATCTCCCCCGAGCGCCCTGGCAGGGCTAAGGGGGCAGTGAAGACAGCCCAGGTGGAGGCCCTGCTGCGCTCTCCCAGGGACTCTGGCCATGTGCAGGGCCTGGCCGCTGCACCGAGTGTCAGGAAGGTGCAGGTCCCAAGGACGCCCTCCTGGCAGGAATGTGCTGGCCTCCTGCCCAGAACAGCGGGGTGTGCCCTGTCTAGGAAGGGGCAGACGCAGCCCCTCTGTGGGACGTGTCATGTGGGCAGCATTCCGGGACATGGGCGGGCAGGCGGGTGGCTTCCTGCCCAGCACCATGGGACCTGCTTTTCCTGGCGCTCGCAGTAGCTCTAACCACCTGCCAGCCTTGGGCCCCTCCTGCTCCTTGGAAACAGCTTCCTTCTGCTCTGAGCTGCTGCTTGTCCCTGGATGGCAGGTGTGGCCTGGCAGGGAGCCTAAGGTTCCTCTGCCCCATTCATACCATGCTGCCCTTGGGAGACAGGACCCACGTGGGGATGGGGCCAGTCCCACTGCCCCCAGGAGCCCTGGACTGGGCTTCTTGGGTGACCTGCCCATGGACCCCATTTCCCCAGCCCGTCAGGCCGGGCGCTCGTGCCCTGCCCAGGGCATTGTGCCCCCAGCAAGAGACGCGTCTGTCTGTCTAGCAGGACGGCAGCTCCTGGTCCAGGGGCAGGGAGTTCACGCAGCCCCTGGCTCACCTGGGCAGTGCTGTTCCCTTCACTCAGCCCCTAGCAATGCCCTTAGCCGCCCCCTTATCCGTGTGTCCTGAGCTGGGCTGACAGCAGCCAGATGCCCTGCCTTGTGTCAGGCTCTATTTACTGTCCAGCATGTCTCCTGATGTTTGTCTCTTCTGGACGTTAAACAGCCATGCCCCATGGCCTCTCTCCCCACAGGTCCTGTAGAGGTGACTGGGAGAGGAAGATGGGGCTGGGGGATCTCTGGAAACTTACCCTCTTCCCTGCACTGCCCCTGAGGCTCTGGCACGGGCCCCTGTCCGAGGTAGGTACTGGGCTCGAGGGACTGTTGGTCTGACCCAGTCTGGCCATGCTCATGGTCTGCTGTAACCTTTCTGAGCAGAGGCTCTGAGAACTGAGCAGATGGCCAGCCGTGGGCACTGCTGCCCTTCAGTGACATCATTGCGCTTTCTATCCCATTCGTTACCCACCCTAACCATGGGGCCGTGTGGCTGGCAGCTGCTGCCCCATCAGCAGCTTGCACAGAGCTGGCCAGAGCCATGCTCTCATCTCTTCTCGGAGCAGCTTCAATTCATCTAGAACCAGGCAATGGGTGTGAACGGTTCCTGGTTTACTGTGCGCTTGCCGTCGTGCTGCCAGCTCCCCTCACTCGGCCCCCAGCCCGCTCTGGGCCCGACGACCCGAACTAACGCTGGGGCCTTGGGCAATGAGCAGGGGGCTGGACTAGATGACCTCCTGAGGTCCCTTCCAACCCTGATATTCTGTGAATGTGGCCCCCTCCTTTACCAGCCGCTTTCCCAGCTCCTTGGCAGCAGTGCGCGTGGCCGGCCCGCTCCTTGGGCTGCCGGACGCTGCTCACTGTGTGACCGTGTTCAGTGTCAGCCAAGCTTGACGCCTGGGCACCTGCACAGAAGTGTCAGCCAGCGCCGCCAGGACCAGGGCAGGGGCATAAGTCAGTTTGTCCATGTGAAAGAATTCATACAGCCCTGCACTGGAGAGGCTGGGGGGAGAGGCGTCACCCTGCTGCCAGGGATGTGCCTTTTGCCCTCCCTGCAATCCAGCCACATCTGGATCTGAAAAACCCCTGTTCACATGGGTGCCAGAGACCTGCTAGCCCTGGCCTAGAGTCCAGGATTCCTGCCTGTCTGCATTCTTCTGCGGTCCAAGCTGTGAACCCCCAGCAAAGTGTGTGTCTCACCTGTGCCATTGTCTGGCCCACAGGGAGGATGACAACCTACTACTGCTGTCAGTTACTCAGTTAGCTCAAGCAGCAGACCTGTGTGCGATGGCCCTGAAGGTCTGCTGCCCCAGACGGGTGTCAATATAGGGCGGTGTGATGGAATTTGTGGGTTTCTCAGTTTGCTTTTGTAAAAAGCTAATAATGACACACACAGTGAAAGTGCAGTGAGGGGCCGTCCCGCACTCCAAGCGGGACCGTGGGTGGCCTGTGCAAAGTTTGCAGATGACACAAAAATGGTGGAGTGGCGAGCAAGGGCAGGGTGCGTGTACAGCGTGACTGCACGAGCTGGACTCCTGGGAACAACGTGCGCGTTAAATGCAGTCGCATGCAAGGTGCTAAGGCTGGGAACCAGGCATAGGGGTCAGGCTGACCGGCTGGCGGGCGGTGGCCTGGAAAGCAGTGACTCAGGAGAGGACTGTGGGGGCATGAACCCAACTGACCAGGGCTCCCAGCAGGGCCCTGCAGCGAAGAGGAGCGTGAACCGCGCTGTGTCCCTGGGGAGTGGCAGTCGGAGCAGGGAGGGGCCGTTACCTCCGTATAGTGCCGTGGGGAGCCGTTTGGGGAGGGAGTAACCCACAGGGGAGGGCGTTGGGCCCCCGGGCCGGCTCCTCACCCCCTGCAGTCCTGGAGTCGCTCTGGCCACGGGCACTGCCGGCCAGCAGCTGTAAGTGGTGCGGGGCCTTTGCTGTGCCCCTGGCTGCACAATGGACAGTGTGTGTCCTGCCCCTGGCACAATGGGGCACAGCCAGTGGGGAAGGCCCAGCAGGGCTGGGGCAGTGGCAGGGAGAAGGCCAGAGGCCCTGGCTGTCCCCAGGGCTGCTCCTTTGTTTAGGGGTTGAGGGTGCAGCTGCCCAGTTGGGTGGAGCCGGGTGCAGGCACCCCATTGCCCATGGCAGCTCCAGCTGGGGTGCGGCAGAGGAGGGGTCCTGGCTTTGTGGGCTGTTGCTGCTACAGGCTACCTGGGCCAGAGCCAGTCGGCTGGGCACCCTGTGTGGCTGCAGGAGAGTGGGGGAGCTATGGGAGGGGCTGCCGAGGGCTGGGGTGGGGGATTGCTTCCTGTGTGGCTGCAGGGGCCTGGTCCCCAAGTCCCAGGACAGGCGTGTGCACGCTCGCACACACACAGCGGGCAAACGCTGTGCCCACACACTCGACTTGCTGAGCTGACAGCTCTCTGTCTCTGTCCCCTGCAGGCTCTACCGCCCCCGCTCCCCAGCCCCAGCTTTGGGACTAGGGCAACAGGTGCCTCCCTCCACACACACCCACCATGCCACAGGGGCGGGCAGCTCCCTAGAGATCAAGACCAGAAGTGACCCCTGTGATCAGTCCAGCTGCACAGGGCAAAGCCCCCCCCCGCCCCCCGATGTAACGCTGGTCTGGGGGAATGAGGGGGGGCACCTGTGTGATGAAGTGGGACTGTTCTTAATGGTTCCTCTGAATAGTGTGGGGGTGCCTCAGTTTCGCCTAGGCAGTTCTTAAGTATCTAGGGGGTGGGGTAAGGGTGTATGATCCTTGCAGAGCCCTAGAGGGCAGGTGTGTGCAGGGGTCTGGACACAGAGAATGGCCGACACCCTGTTTCCTGGCCACTGATGGCCTGGGCCCTTCCCCCCTGCAAGGTGAGAGCTAAAGGGTTGGAGAACAAAGGAATCAGGTGACCTCCTGGCCCGGGAAAGGAGCAAAGCCCAGAGGAGGAGGGGCTGGAGGGAGTTTCAGTTTTGGATCTGGCAGGGGACATGGAGTGAAGGGCAGACGTGGTTGTCTGGCTCACTGCCCCCCAAAATGGACCCAGCTGAGGAGTCCTGTTCTCTGCACCTACAAGCTCTGTGTTAGACTATGTTCCTGTCGTCTAATAAACCTTCTGTGTTACTGGCTGGCTGAGAGTCACATCTGACTGCGGAGTTGGGTGCAGGACCCTCTGGCTTCCCCAGGACCCTGCCTGGGCGGACTCGCTGTGGGAAGCGCACAGAGGGGCAGAGGATGCTGAATGCTCTGAGGTCAGACCCAGGAAGGTGGAAGCCGGGTGAGCTGTGTGTCCTGAAGACAGGCTGCTTACAGAAAGAAGACTGCCCCAGAGTCCTGACTGGCTTCAGGGGGAGCAGTTCCAGAGCATCTCCCAGGGACTTGGTGACAAGGGGTGCCTCAGTTTCCCCTATGCAGTTCTTAAGTCTCTAGGGGGTGGGATAAGGGGCTGTAATTGTTGCAGAGCAAAGGGCCAGGGTACGTAAATGGCCGACACTCTGTCTCCTGTCCACTGATGGCCTGGGCCCTTCCCCCCTGCAAGGTGAGAGCTAAATAGATTCATAGATATCTAGGTCAGAATGGACCATTGTGATCATCTAGTCTGACCTCCTGCACAACGGAGGCCACAGAATTTCACCCACCCCTCCTGCAAAAAACCTCACACCTATATCTGTGCTACTGAAGTCCTCAAATCTTAGTTTAAAGACTTCAAGGAGCAGAAAATCCTCTAGCAAGTGACCCGTGCCCCATACTACAGAGGAATGCGGAAAACCTCCAGGGCCTTCTAATCTGCCCGGAAGGAAAATTCCTTCCCGACCCCAAATATGGCGATCAGCTAAACCCTGAGCATATGGGCAAGATTCATCAGCCAGATACTACAGAAAATTCTTTCCTGGGTAACTCAGATCCCACCGCATCTAATATCCCATCACAGGCCATTGGGCCTATTTACCATGAATATTTAATTATCAAAACCATGTTATCCCATCATACCATCTCCTCCATAAACTTATCGAGTTTAATCTTAAAGCCAGATAGATCTTTTGCCCCCACTGCTTCCCTTGGAAGGGCTGTTCCAGAACTTCACTCCTCTGATGGTTAGAAACCTTTGTCTAATTTCTAGTCTAAATTTCCTGGTGGCCAGTTTATATCCATTTGTTCTTGTGTCCACATTGGTACTGAGCTGAAATAATTCCTCTTCCTCTCCGGTATTTATCCCTCTGATATATTTATAGAGAGCAATCCTATCTCCCCTCAACCTTCTTTTGGTTAGGCTAAACAAGCCAAGCTCCTTGAGTCTCCTTTCGTAAGACAAGTTTTCCATTCCTTGGATCATCCTAGTAGCCCTTCTCTGCACCTGTTCCAGTTTGAATTCATCCTTCTTAAACATGGTAGACCAGAACTGCACACAGTATTCCAGGTGAGGTCTCACCAGTGCCTTGATAACGGTTGTCACGGAGTCCCTGGGCGATGCTCTGGAACTGCTCCCCATGAAGCCAGTCAGGACTCTGGGGCAGTCGCCTTTCTGTGAGCAGCCTGTCTTCAGGACACACAGCTCACACAGCTTCCACCTTCCTGGGTCTGACCTCGGAGCATTCAGCATCCTCTGCCTCTCCGTGCGCTTTCCCCCAGCGAGTCCGCTCAGGCGGGGCTCCTGGGGAAGCCAGAGGGTCCTGCACCCCAACTTCGCAGTCAGACGTGACTCTCAGCCAGCCAGTAAAACAGAAGGTTTATTAGACTACAGGAACATGGTCTAAAACAGAGCTTGCAGGTGCAGAGAACGGGACCCCTCAGCTGGGTCCATTTTGGGGGGCAGTGAGCCAGACAACCACGTCTGCACTTCACTCCATGTCCCAGCCAGCCCCAAACTGAAAACCCCCTCCAGCCCCTCCTCCTCTGGGCTTTGTTCCTTTCCCGGGCCAGGTGGTCACCTGATTCCTTTGTTTCTCCAACCCTTCAGCTCTCACCTTGCAGGGGGGAAGGGCCCAGGCCATCAGTTGCCAGGAAACAGGGTGTCGGCCATTCTCTGTGTCCAGACCCCTGCACACACCTGCCCTCTAGGGCTCTGCAATGATCATACACCCTTACCCCACCCCCTAGATACTTAAGAACTGCATAGGGGAAACTGAGGCACCCCCACAATATTCAGAGGAAACATTAAGAACAGGCCCACTTCGTCACATCTCTCCCCCCTTCGAGATCGAACTGAGCGGGGTCACTTTACCCGGTGACCTGGGGAAGTTTGAAGCCACCAATGTTCCCATGGATGCCCCAGCATCTCTCCCATTCCTTGGTAGGAGTTACACCAGGCCCTTCCAGTTTCACGCCCTCCCTTAGGTCGGGGGTGATCGATAGCACTAGCAGGCTGCATGTGGGAAGGTTTCTGCAGCCCATGCCCTTTGGCCACCCCAAAACCCCAGGGGGTCAAACTGGGATTGGGTTTTCTCCCAGAGCTCCAGTCTGGAGGGCTGCAATTCGGGCTCTCTTGGTTAAGGGCCCCCATCTTGACCTGGGCCACATACTGTTCACTTACAGAACTAGCATGGAGACATCCCTTTCCCAACAACCTTGTCTCCCCAACAAGCTGGCCAAACACAGCCACTTGGTTATAGGACGGTATACCTTTCTTAACAGCTTTCACTCCATCTGAGACCTTCTCAAAGCTCTCCACACTGGATCTTTCAACAGGAAAGTCAGTGGATCCATTCACAACAGAAAATTTCTGGCTGTTAGGAACTGAAACTTTCTTGATTAAATCATTTTCACACCCTTCAGTTGCAGTAAACTGCTTGCAAAGACTCCATGAGGATTCCTTTCCCAAGGGCTTTTCTGTGCAACAATTCACCCCTCCCAGAAATTCTGCTCTTACCCTCTTTACCTAGGGCTTGCTCTAGAGGAACACTTTCCTGAGCAACTACAGACTCTTTCTGGGTCTCCCTTACATCCAGAATCACCTCTGGCCCATCAGGCGGATTCCTACACAATCCCCTTTCAGGCAAACTTACAGACTTCCTAGATAAAAGGTTAGAAGCATTCTCCTTCCCTTTGCCACACACAAGCTCAGGAATCTTTTCCTCCTTGCTACAGGTTTCCACACCCTCAGTAGGTAACACAATCACACACCTTCATGCTCTCCTTGTGCCCTGGCTAGGATCTCACCCTGATTAGACAGAGTTGCTCCACCCTTTCCAACAACACACAAGCAACAGGCAAAATACAAGCACCCGAATTGTCTGGTCTCGGGGATTTTACATAGACCCTAACTGGATGCGACCTAGTTACAGGGCCATTCTCCCGAGCAGACAGAAACTTAGGACCCTTCCCTTCCTGGGCTTTAGCTGAATCCAGAACCAGCTCTGAGACAACTGCACGACCCTCAACCATCACAGGCTGAAAGGCCCCTTCTGTCTGCTCCACAGACCAAGAAGAGCCGGACACACTTTCTCCTTTACCAGACACACAGGTTGGGATCTCATTCCCTTTGTCCCAGCACACAAGGCTGGTCACAGACAACTGCTTGGAGATCAGGGTAGCTCCCTCCATAGGCAAGTCAATATCCCTGACAGACAGAGACCCATTTCCTTCACTGTCCCAATTCTCCACCCAGCTAACACGTAAGGTCCAGGGACTCTCATCTTCCACTCTCCTCGCCTTCCCACCCTGCTGACTGGACACAGCCATCAGCTCACAAGGCTGCCTAGGCTCATCCAAACTTCCCTTACCAAGCACCTTGCCACTCCCCACAGATCCCCTGCCCTGCCTGTGTCTCCCCCCACTCAGCTGGGGTCTCAGCTCCCACTGTGCTCAGCGCTGCCCTTGCTGTCCCAGTGGGGGCAGGCCACTGCTTTCCTCACTGCATCAGAGCCAGCGAGAGTCCCCAGTCTGGTGTGCAAGGCGGCGGGGAGCATCTCTCTGTCCCACCGAGTCCCAGGGGTCTGGTTACAGGCAGGCAGGTAGCCTGAGCCTAGCCGCTCCTCCCTGCTGCCAGCCCGGTCATCTGCATTTTCACTGACCATTTCCCTCTCCACCAATTGGTTCCCTGGATTCAAATTCAAACCCTCGGCAGTTACAGGAGCAGGGCCTGGATCCTGTTGTGACGAAGTGGGACTGTTCTTAATGTTTCCTCTGAATAGTGTGGGGGTGCCTCAGTTTCCCCTAGGCAGTTCTTAAGTATCTAGGGGGTGGGGTAAGGGTGTATGATCATTGCAGAGCCCTAGAGGGCAGGTGTGTGCAGGGGTCTGGACACAGAGAATGGCCGACACCCTGTTTCCTGGCAACTGATGGCCTGGGCCCTTCCCCCCTGCAAGGTGAGAGCTAAAGGGTTGGAGAACAAAGGAATCAGGTGACCACCTGGCCCGGGAAAGGAACAAAGCCCAGAGGAGGAGGGGCTGGAGGGGGTTTTCAGTTTGGGGCTGGCTGGGACATGGAGTGAAGTGCAGACGTGGTTATCTGGCTCACTGCCCCCCAGAATGGACCCAGCTGAGGGGTCCCGTTCTCTGCACCTGCAAGCTCTGTTTTAGACCATGTTCCTGTCGTCTAATAAACCTTCTGTTTTACTGGCTGGCTGAGAGTCACGTCTGACTGCGAAGTTGGGGTGCAGGACCCTCTGGCTTCCCCAGGAGCACCGCCTGAGCGGACTCGCTGGGGGAAGCACACGGAGAGGCAGAGGATGCTGAATGCTCCGAGGTCAGACCCAGGAAGGTGGAAGCTGTGTGAGCTGTGTGTCCTGAAGACAGTCTGCTCACAGAAAGGCGACTACCCCAGAGTCCTGACTGGCTTCATGGGGAGCAGTTCCAGAGCATCGCCCAGGGACTCCGTGACAACTGGTGGCAGCGGTGGGATGTACTGCACCCCGTGGATGGCGCTTCCTGCAGTAAGTGACTGGGGAGCAGTAACACGAAGGGGGATTGCCGAGGACCAGGCCTGCTGAAGGCTCAGAAAGGAGCGGTTTCGGGGGCGGTTAACCCCTGGGAGTGTGTGACCAGCGAGAAGGACTGTGCAGTAATGGGGTCCCCCTGGGGACTGCAGTGAGCAGTCTTAGGGGCGGAGGAGTCTGCAGCTCGACCCTGGCAAAGAGGTGGTGACCTCGAGAAGGGCTGGCACACTAGGGGTTCTCCCTGGAAACCGTGGGGAGCTGAGAACACACGGGCCTGTGAGTCCACAACAACTTGGGAGGAGCGGAGTGATGGCCTGTCACCGTCTCCTTAAGAAGGACATTGTAACCCTGTGCAGAAAGAGAGGGTTGAGCGTTGGAAAGTTCACCAAAGCAGAGTTAATCGTGCAGCTGGAGGAGGATGACCGCTCTAAGGAACAGATTCCTGACCCCAACTGGGGCTATAGCAGGATCTGGGAGCAGCTGGAGCGGGAGCCAGGCATCGCCAAGACTCCTGTCCCCGACCAGACGGGGGTCTTCACGATCGGGTTCCCCATCGGGGGATCGAGACGGACGGGATTGGAGCTGAGTCTGAGAGAGCAAGAGGACCGTGGGAGACAGCGAGAGCCCGAGAAAGAGCTGCAGAAGCAGCAGCAGGATGAACTGGCGGTGGTGGGGCGGAGAGGCCTAGGGGACCTCCCAGGGGTGAGTGGGGATAGATCCCGGGGTGCCAGTTCCGCAGGGAACCTCGAGACTAAATTGCTGCCCCTGGTTAAGGAGGGGGGTGTGTGTGGATGCCCACCTCACTGCCTTTGAGCAGGCTGGCGATTTGAACCAGGGGGACCCTGCGGAAAAGCCCCGGTGTCTAGCTCCCTTGCTGGGTCCCAAGGCCATAGACACCGTCAGCCAGATGGTTGGGGATGTGGACAGGCTCCCACTCCTGATCCCAACCTATATGTCTGTGTGGAGTTTCCTGGGGCCAGGCCCCTCGGACCTCCAGTGGGAGCAGAAGGTGATGGTCAATGGGGAGACATTCTTGGGGTGGCCAAAGGGCATGGGCTGCATAAACCTTCCCACATGCGGCCTGCGAGTGCTATCGACCACCCCTGACCTAAGGGAGGGTGTGAAAATGGAAGGGCCTGGTGTAACTCCTACCAAGGAATGGGAGAGATGCTGGGGCATCCATGGGAACGTTGGTGGCTTCGAACTTCCCCAGGTCACCGGCTAAAGTGACCCCGCTCAGTTCGATCTCGAAGGGGGGAGAGATGTGACGAAGTGGGACTGTTCTTAATGTTTCCTCTGAATAGTGTGGGGGTGCCTCAGTTTCCCCTAGGCAGTTCTTAAGTATCTAGGGGGTGGGGTAAGGGTGTATGATCATTGCAGAGCCCTAGAGGGCAGGTGTGTGCAGGGGTCTGGACACAGAGAATGGCCGACACCCTGTTTCCTGGCAACTGATGGCCTGGGCCCTTCCCCCCTGCAAGGTGAGAGCTAAAGGGTTGGAGAACAAAGGAATCAGGTGACCACCTGGCCCGGGAAAGGAACAAAGCCCAGAGGAGGAGGGGCTGGAGGGGGTTTTCAGTTTGGGGCTGGCTGGGACATGGAGTGAAGTGCAGACGTGGTTATCTGGCTCACTGCCCCCCAGAATGGACCCAGCTGAGGGGTCCCGTTCTCTGCACCTGCAAGCTCTGTTTTAGACCATGTTCCTGTCGTCTAATAAACCTTCTGTTTTACTGGCTGGCTGAGAGTCACGTCTGACTGCGAAGTTGGGGTGCAGGACCCTCTGGCTTCCCCAGGAGCACCGCCTGAGCGGACTCGCTGGGGGAAGCACACGGAGAGGCAGAGGATGCTGAATGCTCCGAGGTCAGACCCAGGAAGGTGGAAGCTGTGTGAGCTGTGTGTCCTGAAGACAGTCTGCTCACAGAAAGGCGACTACCCCAGAGTCCTGACTGGCTTCATGGGGAGCAGTTCCAGAGCATCGCCCAGGGACTCCGTGACACCTGTCCCAAAGAGACACAGTCACCCCACAACAGGGTCTCGCAGCTGGTGTCCTGGAGAACCCCAACGGCCAGCCAGCCCAACCCCTCCTGGGTCTGCACGGGGATCTGGGCCATAGGCAGGGCGAGGGGCTTCGTCCCGGGGACCCTCACCCAGCTCACACAGGCCCTCAGCCTCTGAGGCTGCACCACCCAGGGTCTGACACCAGTTCTCTCTGTCCCAGGATCTCGCCACCCCAGGAATGTCTCCCCATTGACCATCACCTTCCGCTCCCACTGGGGGTCCGAGGGGCCCGACCCCAGGGAACTCCACACAGACATATAGGTTGGGGTCAGGAGTGGGAGCCTGTCCACCTCCCCACCCATCTGGCTGATGGAGTCTGTGGCCTTGGGACCCAGCAAGGGAGCTAGACACCGGGGTTTTCCGCAGGGTCCCCCTGGTTCAGATCTCCAGCCTGCTCAAAGGCAGTGAGGTGGCATCCACACCCCCCCCCTTAACTAGGGGCAGCAATTTAGTCTCGAGGTTCCCTGCGGAACTGGCCCCCCGGGATCTATCCCCACTCAGCCCGGGGAGGTCCCCTCGGCCTCTCCGCCCCACCACCGCCAGTTCATGCTGCTGCTGCTTCTGCAGCTCTTTCTCGGGCTCTCGCTGTCTCTCACAGTCCTCTTGCTCTCTCAGACTCCGCTCCAATCCCGTCCGTTTCAATCCCCCGATGGGGAACCCGATCGTGAAGACCCCCGTCTGGTCGGGGACAGGAGTCTTGGCGATGCCTGGCTCCCACTCCAGCTGCTCCCAGATCCTGCTATAGCCCCATTTGGGGTCAGGAATCTGTTCCTTAGAGCGGTCATCCTCCTCCAGCTGCACGATTAACTCTGCTTTGGTGAACTTTCCAATGCTCAACCCTCTCTTTTGCAGGAAGCGCCATCCACGGGGTGCAGTACATCCCACCGCTGCCACCAGTTGTCACGGAGTCCCTGGGCGATGCTCTGGAACTGCTCCCCATGAAGCCAGTCAGGACTCTGGGGCAGTCGCCTTTCTGTGTGCAGCCTGTCTTCAGGACACACAGCTCACACAGCTTCCACCTTCCTGGGTCTGACCTCGGAGCATTCAGCATCCTCTGCCCCTCCGTGCGCTTCCCACAGCGAGTCCGCTCAGGCGGGGCTCCTGGGGAAGCCAGAGGGTCCTGCACCCCTACTTCGCAGTCAGACGTGACTCTCAGCCAGCCAGTAAAACAGAAGGTTTATTAGACGACAGGAACATGGTCTAAAACAGAGCTTGCAGGTGCAGAGAACGGGACCCCTCAGCTGGGTCCATTTTGGGGGGCAGTGAGCCAGACAACCACGTCTGCACTTCACTCCATGTCCCAGCCAGCCCCAAACTGAAAACTCCCTCCAGCCCCTCCTCCTCTGGGCTTTGTTCCTTTCCCGGGCCAGGTGGTCACCTGATTCCTTTGTTCTCCAACCCTTCAGCTCTCACCTTGCAGGAGGGAAGGGCCCAGGCCATCAGTTGCCAGGAAACAGGGTGTCGGCCATTCTCTGTGTCCAGACCCCTGCACACACCTGCCCTCTAGGGCTCTGCAATGATCATACACCCTTACCCCACCCCCTAGATACTTAAGAACTGCCTAGGGGAAACTGAGGCACCCCCACAATATTCAGAGGAAACATTAAGAACAGGCCCACTTCGTCACAACGGTACTAAAACCTCCTTATCCCTACTGGAAATACCTCTCCTGATGCATCCCAAGACCACATTAGCTTTTTTCATGGCCATATCACATTGGCGGCTCATAGTCATCCTATGATCAACCAATACTCCAAGGTCCTTCTCCTCCTCCGTTACTTCTAATTGATGCGTCCCCAGCTTATAACTAAAATTCTTGTTATTAATCCCTAAATGCATGACCTTACACTTCTCACTATTAAATTTCATCCTATTACTAGTACTCCAGTTTACAAGGTCATCCAGATCTTCCTGTATGATATCCTGGTCCTTCTCTGTATTGGCAATATCTCCCAGCTTTGTATCATCCGCAAACTTTATTAGCACACTCCCACTTTTTGTGCCAAGGTCAGTAATAAAAAGATTAAATAAGATTAGTCCCAAAACCGATCCCTGAGGAACTCCACTGGTAACCTCCCTCCAGCCTGACAGTTCACCTTTCAGTAGGACCCATTGTAGTCTCCCCTTTAACCAATTCCTTATCCACCTTTCAATTTTCCTATTGATCCCCATCTTATCCAATTTAACTAATAATTCCCCATGTGGCACGGTATCAGATGCCTTACTGAAATCGAGGTAAATTAGATCCACTGCGTTTCCTTTGTCTAAAAAATCTGTTGCCTTCTCAAAGAAGGAGATCAGGTTGGTTTGGCACGATCTACCTTTTGTAAAACCATGTTGTATTTTGTCCCATTTACTTCAATGTCCTTAACTACTTTCTCCTTCAAATTTTTCCCAAGACCTTGCCTACTACAGATTTCAAACTAACAGGCCTATAATTACCCGGATCGCTTTTTTTCCCTTTCTTAAAAATAGGAACTATGTTAGCAATGCTCCAATCATATGGTACAACCCCTGAGTTTACAGATTCATTAAAAACTCTTGCTAATGGGCTTGCAATTTTGGGTGCCAATTCCTTTAATATTCTTGGATAACGATTGTCTGGACCCCCCGATTTAGTCCCATTAAGCTGTGAGTTTTGCTTCTACCTCAAATATGGTAATGTCTACCTCCATCTCCTCATTCCCATTTGTCATGCTACCATTATCCCTAAGATCCTCTTTAGCCTTATTAAAGACTGAGGCAAAGTATTTGTTTAGATATTGGACCATGCCTAGATTATCCTTAACCTCCACTCCATCCTCAGTGTTTAGCGGTCCCACTTCTTCTCTTGGTTTTCTTCTTACTGACATGGCTACAGAACCTTTTACTATTGGTTTTAATTCCCTTTGCAAGGTCCAACTCTACTTGACCTTTAGCCTGTCTCACTTTATCCCTACATGTTCTGACCTCAAGAAGGTACCTTTCCTTGCTGATCCCTCCCATCTTCCACTCCCTGTATGCTTTCTGCTTTTTCTTAATCACCTTAAAGGGTTGGAGAACAAAGGAATCAGGTGACCTCCTGGCCCGGGAAAGGAACAAAGCCCAGAGGAGGAGGGGCAGGAGGGAGTTTCAGTTTTGGGGCTGGCTGGGACATGGAGTGAAGGGCAGACGGGTTGTCTGGCTCACTGCCCCCCCAGAATGGACCCAGCTGAGGGGTCCTGTTCTCTGCACCTTCAAGCTCTGTGTTAGACCCTGTTCCTGTCGTCTAATAAACCTCCTGTTTTACTGGCTGGCTGAGAGTCACGTCTGACTGTGGAGTTATGGGGCAGAGGATGGGCAGACTTGCTGTGGGAAGCGCACGGAGGGGCAGAGGATGCTGAATGCTCCGAGGTCAGACCCAGGAAGGTGGAAGCTGGGTGAGCTGTGTGTCCTTCAGACAGGCTGCTCCCAGAAAGGAGACTTCCCCAGAGTCCTGCCTGGCTTCCTAGGGAGCAGTTCCAGAGCAACGCCTGGGGACTCCGTGATACCCCGCCACCGGGTCCGCTGGGCCAAGGGTTCATGGCTCACTGGTAAGGACGCACACAGCAGCACTGGTGTGAGTGGGGCTGGGTTCTGGGCTGCCATGGGTCAGTCTCTGCAAGGCCTAGGTTCAGTGGTTGTTCCCCAGGCAGCTACTTCCAGCCTGTGATCACCCCACAACCCCACAACCTTGGTCAGGCTGCAGCCGCTCCATGAGCCCGAGCCCCCAAGGCAGGTTTCTCGGCCTTTAATCTGCCATGTGGCCCCTCACCCGTTATCAGCCTCCTGCTCAGCCCCCCCCAGCCCCAGTGCCCCGCTTTGCGCTGGCCCCAGCGACCCGCTTGGCTCCGGCCCTCCAGCACCTCCGCCAGCCCTGGAGCCCCCCAGTCTCCTTGCCAGCCCCAGCACCCCACCCTCCGCCAGCCCTGGAGCCCCCCAGTCCCCATGCCAGCGCCCTGCCGTGGCCGCAGAGCCCCTGTGCCAGAGGCTCACATTCAGCTCGTTCCCCCCCCAGCCCCCCACATGGCCACCCGCCATTGTCCCCAGCGTGCCAGGCCAGGGTGGGTTGGGGGTGCTCCTTTGAGGCCTTGCACCTTGGCCCTAGCATCTTCCCTACAGCCAGGTTCCCTCTCGCTCTTCTTTGGGAGGGCGGGGGGAGTAGCAGATGTGGCCGTATGTGTGTGGGGGTCACTGTCTGCCGCTCCCCAGCAGCCTCTGCTGACCCAGTCACCCATGTTGGGGGCCCCCTTGAGCACCCCCCTGCTGTGGAGCAGGGAGGCCCCCAACCCCCACTGAGCTCTTGGGGCTGCGTCCTTGTTCCCCCAGACAGCCCCCTGGAGCTGGTGGGGCGCATGAGCAGGGCCCTGGCTGCAGGAAGAGGTGGGGCAGGTGCTGGGGAAAGGGCTCAGGGGAAGGCTGAGTCCCGGGGCGGCAGGTCCCCCAGGCTGCACGGCTACCCCCACGTGTTCCACTGCAGCCCCCAGTGGGGTATCAGCGGGGTGGAAGGGAGCTGGGGCCAGGGCTGCCCCGGGCTGGGTTCTTGAGCCTCCCCTGCCTGCTGCACATCCACACCTGTCCGGTTCCTCAGACCTGGTGCTTGCATGGCCCCTGGGAGCCCCCTTTAGTGTGTGAGCCCCCCAGGGTCACACACTCACTGGGGTAAGGCCCGGGGCTTCCCCACCTCCTGGGACCCACCCTCAGTGCCTGCAGCCCCCGCGGCTCACGCCGTGACTCCCCCCCGAGCAGGTCCAGCAGGGAGACGCCCCAAGGGGAGCCAGGCACCCCCAGGTTCCTTGCACTGCAGGGACTCAGCCAGCGGGTGACCGCAGGGGCTAGGAGGGGCTGGAACAGGCGTAGCCCGTCCTCGGTTAGCACCGAGAGCAGGAAGTTACAGCCTGGCCCAGCTGGGTCCGGCCCAGAGCCCAGAGCTCACGGCCCCTCTGTAGTCCCAGCCCGGAAGAGCTTCTCCCTCTGCCTCCAGCAGCCCCAGGGCCGCCCGGGGGGGGGCCCAAGTGGGGCAATTTTCCCCAGGCCCCACAGGGGCCCCCACGTGAGTTTTCTGCAGCAATTCGGGGGCGGTGGGGTCTTTCAGTGCCACCAGACACACCCAGAGTGAAGGACCCGCCGCCGCTTCTTCCACTCGGGGTCTTCGGCAAAGTGCCCCGAATACCCAAAGCAGAAGGACCCCCGCCGCCGAAGCCCCTAGGCCCCCTGAATCCTCTGGGCAGTCCTGAGCAGCCCTGCCCTGACACCCCCTAGCCCTTTGCTCTCCAGCTGGGTCAGGCCCAGAGCTCCCATCCCCCCCTTTGAGTCCCCGTCCAGATGCATGGCTCCTGGGCACCTGGCCCTTTGGTCTCCAGCTGGTCGAACCTGGCTGGCTTCCTGCAGAGGGTGGGCCCCTGGGTTGCTAGGTACCACATGGCTGGGCCCTTCTCTCCTAGGCCCGGGCCCCACACAGCTGGGGCACAGTCCCACCTCTAGCTCTGGGTCTCTGCAAAGAGCAAACACTCCCACCCCTGTTAACCAGGCACCACCCCAGGGAAACTGAGGCACGCACGTGCTCTTCACACAAAATAGTATGGACAGTTTCCACTCCATCCCAGCACCCCCTGGATCCAGACACCAGCCTTTGACTTGCACAGAACTTTTATTAGTGACACGCTAGTGCTTGCAGACGTGGTGGTCGGCCCGCGGCCGCTCCTGAGACGAGGGGGCCTGGGCCCCACAGGCACAGGGCTGTGCTGGCCACTGGGGCGGCTGAGGTAGTCGGCCTGGGAGGGGATGCGGAGGCAGGCTCCTGCTGGAGCGTGAGTCGTGGTGGGCGGCTGCTGGCTCCGGCGGTGCCCCCCGGGCGTTAGGCGAGCACCAGCCCCATTCGCCCTCCAGCACCAATAAATACCAAGGCTCCCTGAGTGCAGTCGCGGCTGCCCCAGCGCGGGAGGGCCAGGGGCCACGGGGACAACCACCAGGATTTGGGGGGGCAGGCCTGGCGTGCCACCCCAGCACCGGCCCAGGAGAGAAGCTGCCCCCCAGCCCAGAGGGGCCTTGTGGGGGTGCTCTCGGGGGAGCCCCGGGGCTGGCAGGAAGGCCCAAGCAGAGGGAGGCAGTGTCCAGCCCCCCCTCTGCGGCTGCTGTGCAGGGGGCAGCGCTCAGCCCCACGCCGCCCCCTTTCGGGCTGCTCCCCCGGCGGCAGGGCTCCGCTCCGCCCCACACGCGTCACAGGAGGTTACTGGCCAGGCGCTGCTGCTCCAGCTCTCGGACGGCCTCGGCGCCGTGCTGGTCACCTGGGGAGAGGAGGGGGCGGGTGAGGGGGGCCTGCACCCCCCTGCCTGGCCGAGCGGGGGAGGGGCACAGGGCCTGTCCCCTGGAGGCCTGGTGCCCCGGTCGCGCCCCCGAGGGGTATGCTGCCAGCTGGGCCAGAGGGGCTCAGCTACCCCGGGCTGGGCCGGCTGCCCCCCCAGCTGCCTCCCATGGGCCCAGCCGGCCCCGCTCCCCCGGGGCCCCGCCCCCCCGGGGGCCCCCCTCACCTGTGTGGCAGCCGTGCAGCCAGGCACGGTGCCCGTCGTACCTGCACTGGCAGCGCATCACGTTGTTGGAGAAATCGGACTCGGCCACCTCGTGCTGGGGGTTCACGACCACCTGGGCAGGAGAGGGGAGGGGAGGGAGGAGAGAGGAGGGGCAGGGGGCCCGCGGGGGGGCAAGGCCAGGCTGGTGCCCGGGCTGGTGGGAGAGGGACGGGGGCTGGGCCAGCCTCACACCGGGGCCCCCGGCCCCTCCCCGGCTGCCCCCAGCCGCAGGCGTCGGGCCTCTGGCCCAGGCCGGCGGGTTCCCGCCCTGGCCGGCTCCCAGGACGCAGCCAGGCCCTGAGCGGGCGCTGGGGGGAGGCACGGCCTGGGGGCGTTCAGCGCGGACAGGCCTTGGCCCCGGCCCCGGGCACGCGGCTCCTACCTGTAAGACGTAGCTGCCGGGCCCCACGTCGCTGATGTCCACCCACTGGCAGTCGATGTCGTGCCGGTAGGTGTCCCAGCACCCCACGCTCACCCCCTGCTCCCCGAAGTTGGCACACGCAAAGCGCCGCTGCAGCCCTGGGGGAGACGGAGAGGGGACAGGAGGACTCAGGCAGCCCCCCTCCCCCAGTCCCCCCAGCACCCGCTTCCCCCCCACACCCACCACGCAGCGGAGAGCTCTCCCTTTGGGGCTGCTGGCTGTGGGGGGCGTTCCCAGCAGGGGGCGCTGTGGGGGGCAGGGCAGGGTGCTGGCTGTGGGGAGCAGGGCAGGGCGCTGGCTGTGGGGGAGCTCCCAGCAGGGGGCGCTGTGGGGGGCAGGGCAGGGCTGGCTGTGGGGGGAGCTCCCAGCAGGGGGCGCTGTGGGGGGGCAGGGCAGGGCAGGGCAGGGCTGGCTGTGGGGGGGCGGGGCAGGGCGCTGGCTGTGGGGGGAGCTCCCAGCAGGGGGCGCTGTGGGGGGCAGGGCAGGGCGCTGGCTGTGGGGGGAGCTCCCAGCAGGGGGCGCTGTGGGGGGAAGGGCAGGGCAGGGCTGGGCTGGCTGTGGGGGGCAGGGCAGGGCGCTGGCTGTGGGGGAGCTCCCAGCAGGGGGCGCTGTGGGGGGCAGGGCAGGGCAGGGATGGGCTGGCTGTGGGGGGCAGGGCAGGGCGCTGGCTGTGGGGGGAGCTCCCAGCAGGGGGCGCTGTGGGGGGCGGGGCAGGGTGCTGGGGGGGGCGCAGCAGGGTATTGCCTGTGGGGGCGCTCCCAGCAGGGGGCGCTGTGGGGGGCGGGGCAGGGCAGGGCAGGGCTGGCTGTGGGGGCGCTCCCAGCAGGGGGCGCTGTGGGGGGCGGGGCAGGGCTGGCCGCGGGGAGCGCTGGGTCTGAGGAGGGGTTCCCGAGAGCCCGGCCCACACCTGGGGGGCAGCTGGTGTCCTCGAGGCAGAAGCTGGCCTTGTGCCCTTCGGCCACCCTGGAGCCGTTGGGCGTCAGCAGGTCGTAGTGGGTGAAAACCTCCATGCTGTGGTAATGCCTGTGGGGGACGAGAGGGGGCAGCTGAGCGCACGGGGGGGGGGAGCAGTGCCCCCCCCAGACATCAGGCCCGGTCTCCCCTGCTTGGTGAGCGGGACGGGGAGGCCGGAGGGTGAAGCCCCTGGGCGTTTTGGGGAAGCCCCCCTGCAGGGGCAGAGCCAGACCCCTGGCCGGGGAGGGCAGGAGGGAGCTGCCGGGGGTGGGGGCCAGGGGCCGAGGGCTGGGCCCAGAATTGCAGCTCTGCGTCCACATGAAGCCGTAACGACAGTCCTGGCCCAGATGCTGCCCCTTACACCCGGCGGGGCCGGCCCCACAGAGCCAGCCGGGGACAGCCAGCCGGGGCCCACGTGGGGCCCGGGCGTGGGGCTCTGGGGCAGTGGCTCACTGGGCATGGCCCAGCGCCCTGCTGCTGGCTCTGGTTCCTCTCCTCGTCTGCCAGGGCACCCGGCCAGCAGCCCTAGCTCCGGGTGCTGCTCGCAGCTGCTGCAGTGGGGAGCTGGCATCCCTGGGGGCCCAGGCAGCCCCAGAGCCCGGCTGTGCAGCCCCGCGGGGGGCGCTCACCTGTGGCACTGATGCCAGAGCCAGGCGTGGCGGCCGGTGTGGGGCCGGAAGTCGGCTCGGCCCAGGTTGTGGATCCGGGAGGAGAAGCGCAGCAGACGCCGGTGCCCGTGGGGCCAGCTGGCGTGGTCGGCCGAGCGTGAGAGGCAGCGCTCCTCGTGGGCGCAGGACAGCATGGCGAGTGGCCGCTCCTCCAGGTAGCCCGTCTCCTGCACCAGCTGCGCGTCCAGCACCAGGTCCGGGGCGGCTGCAGGATCCGCGGGGTCAGGCTGGCCTGGCTTCCCCTGGGACACGGGGCCGTGCAGGGCCCCCCCGGCCCCGGCAGGTGCAGAGCCGGGGCGTTACCCCGCCCCCGCCGGCGGCCGCGGGCAACCGAGGGCTGGCCCGGCTCGGCGAGGTGAGATCGAGGGGGCTGACCGCCAAGGAAATCCCCAGTCCCACCCCCGCCCTGGGGACGCGACACCTGCTGCCCCCGCCCACCCAGGCGGGCAGGCCCGTCACTCACTCTCGGTGCAGCTGACCCCGGCAGAGAAGCGCCCACCGCCAGCCGGGCAGTGCACGGGGCCATGGCGCTGGCATTGCTGGATGCTGAGCTCAGAGCCCGTGCAGCGCACGCCGCTCACCACCACCTCGCCCGCCTCCGGGCTGCCCTGCCAGTACCAGGTCTCCTGGGGGGGGGGGGGGAGAGACGCCCCAGTGCTCAGCGGGGACACAAGGGCCCAGGGCCCCGCATCCCCTCAAGGCCAGGGCCCCCCCATCCCCACTGTTGACGCCCGCGCCCTCCCCATCCTGCCCCTCAATGCCCGTGCCCTCCCCATCCTGCCCCTCGACACCACAGCACCTGGGGTCCTGCCCTGCCCCTCCCCACCTCCCCCCCCCACAACGTCCCCTGCCACCAGGGCACAGGGCTCCCCCATGCATCCCCCCCAGCCTGGGCACAGCCCCTCCCCCGGCTCTGGGACTCACCTGGAGGGCATGGCTGGCGAAGCCCAGCCCCAGCTGTCTGCAGACCACCATGGCCTCGTTCAGCCCCCACCGTTCACCGCACACGGAGCCCCACTTCAGGGCGCCCCCCACCGGCACCAGCACCTCCACCACACCCTCCTTGGGGCTACGGCCCCCCACCAGGCGCACCTGGGCAGAGCAGGGGTTAGCTGCCAGCTCCTGCCCCAGCCCGGGGAGAGCCACTGGAGGGCTGGAGACCCCCACCCCAGCTGGGGCACCTGGGGGCCCCCACACCGGCTGCCTGCCCCACCCCATGTCTCCCTCCATGTCATTCACCACCTCCTTCAGCCTGTGGCATCCTCCCCATGGTTCCCTGTGCCACCCTCTCCTCCTGCAGTGTCCCCCAGCACCCCCGGCACCCACTCCCCCAGAAGTGCCCCACGGCACTCACTCCCCAAGATCTCCCAGCACCCCCCAGTGCCCACTCCCCCAGGCCCCTGAGCGCCCCACAGCACCCCCACCACCCACTCCCCCAGAAGTGCCCCATGGCACCCACTCCCCAAGACCTCCCAGCACCCCCCAGTGCCCACTCCCGCAGGCCTCCCTGCCCCACTGTACCCCATGGCACCTACACCACCCCAGGCTACCCGCTTCTAGATGGTGCCACACTGCCCCTCCCTAGCTATGCGCCCCACACCCCGGCATGACTGACAGCCCCCAGGGGCCGCGGGGCTCACCTGGCTCTGGTAGTCCATGCGGGGCACGTTGCACCGGACGGCAGCGTCGGCCTCATGCCGGCAGCCGCTCTGCGCTGCCTCCTGGAAGCGGCACTCGTGGAGGGAGCGCTCGGAGCCCGTGCACTGCACCTCGGTCATGTGGATGGGGCCCAGGCCTGGAGCCAGAGCCCAGCGTCAGCCTGACTCACCCCTGGGGCCTGCAGGGACCCCATCCCCGCCCCCAGGCTGCTCCGGTGCAGCCCTGCCCCGGTGCCGCCCAAGGGGCTCCCTGCACAGGGCAGCTCCCGCCTCCCTCGGGAGGGTGGGAGGCCAGAATGGCCCCTTAAACCCTCCAGCCTGGCCTCCTGCAGAGCACAGGCCAGAGCCCCGCAGCCCCAGACAGGCCTCAGGGGCTGAGCCATGGAGAGCTGGGGAATCCCCCCTCCCCGGGAGCTTGTCCTGCGGCTCCCCAGCCGCCCGGCACATTGGGGACTGGACCGGGCCTGGCTGCCGGTCCCTGGTGTGCCCGGCTCCCGAAGGCCTCACGCCGGGATCCGGCCGCTCTCCCTCCCAGACGCTGCCCAGCCCGAAGCTCCAGGCTCTCCCTGCCGGTTCTGCTCCATCCCAGGGCCCTTTGCCACTGGGGAGCCCAGACCTGGACACCCCAAAACCCTTTGCAGAGGGACCCCCCATGCCACCCCAGAGCTCACCCTCAGTGGCTCGTCCGCTACGCCCCCATAACTGCTCCCGGGACACAGGCACATGGGAGCGGGGCCCCAGCACCCCAGCACGGCACCCGGGGTCCGGCCCCCCAGGTCTCCATCACCGCGGCTCCCCACGCACTGGCTCCTTCCAGCCGCTCACCCTGGCCCAGCTGGGCCCCTGCCAGGGCCTGCCTGGCCGTCCCGTAGCCCAGCTGCCGACACACCACGCTGGCTGCGAGCAGGTTCCACTTTTCGTCGCACACGGTGCCCCAGTGGCCACGGTGCAGCACCTCCACCCGGCCCTCGCCCACCTGGGCGCCAGCCCGGAGACGCACCTGGGGCCCCTGCGAGAGCGGGGGGGGGGGATTAGGAGGGGCCAAATGTGTTCGTGCACCCCCCCCGGGAATGGCTGGGGTAGAGAGCTGGGGTCCGGCCTGTAGCCAGGGCCCCCCACAGCCAGCTCCTGCCCCGCTCCCCACAGCGCCCCCTGCTGGTACAGGCTGGGACTGGAGCAGCCGGGAGCCCCCACCCCACCCAACACCCTGCCCCCTGTGTCCCCCCAGCACCCCCTGCTGGGACAGGACAGGGCTGGAGTAGCGGGAGCTCCCCCTACAGCCAGCTCCTGCCCTGCCCCCCACAGCGCCCCCTGCTGGGACAAGAGCAGCCAGGAGTCCCCCCACCCCCCAGCCGGCGTGTGGCCTCGCTCCCCCTCCGGAACCGTTGCTCGGTTTGTGCTGCTGACGTCAGTCCCAAGAGAAACCATTTTCCCACCCCCGGCCCACGCCGTGCTGTGGCCCATTCCCTCGGGGCCGGGGTCTCTCATGGGGTCTCCCCCCGTGTCCCCCAGACCCGGGGCCGTGGCTCTGGTAGGGCTCACCTCTGCGCGCCGGCCCTGGCGGAACGGCCTGGCCTTGGCTTTCTGGAACTCGGCGCCCGGGACGCAGCTGATGACGGCGTGCATGCCACGGGGGCAGGCGGGCTGGAGCCGGCTGGCAGGGGACACCTGCACCGGGCAGTGGGACAGGTGGGGCTCCGTGCCCAGGCAGCTGACCCGGTGGATCCAGAACGCGTTCTTCCGGCTCAGGGTCCTCAGGCTGCAAACCAGGGGGGTCAGGTCAGCCCACGCCAGGTCCTGCCCGGCCGGCGCTAACAGCGCCCGGCTCTAGGGGCACCCCTAGCGAGGTGCAGCCGGCCCATGGGACGGGCGCACCCCGTGGGAAGCCTGGCACCCGGCGGGTCGGCCCCAGACGGGAGCGCTCAGGCAGGGACGAGTCCGTACCTCGACTTGGGATCCTTCAACTGCAGGTTCCAGAGCTTCCTGCAGGGTTCAAAAGGGCTGGTCAGCAGGGCCGTGGGCAGCCCCCACAGGGGTCGCCGTGCCCTCCGCCCCCCACCCCTGCGCCCCCCCAGGGGTCTGCATGTCTTCCGCCTCATCCTTGGATCCAGGACTTCACACCCCAGGGAGCCTGTGACCCACCCCTTGCACCAATGCACATGCGTGTGCAACACTCAACCTTCTGTGACCTTGGACCCCGCCCGTGCCATCTCGTCGAAGCACCTCAGACCATTGCGAGGGACACCCCCCAGCCAGCCACGCGACCCTGACCGCAGGACCCCCCCGCCCCGCTCTGCACCCGCCCGCGGCGCCCGGCGCTACCTGTAGAAGCCGGTGTTGAGCTGCTTCTCCCGGGGGAAACCCAGCATCCCGCACACCACGCGGCTGCTGTTCCTGGTCCAGCCGGCGTCGCACACCTGCCTCCAGCGCCCCTCGTGCTTCACCTCCACCACGCCCTCGCTGATGGGCACGCTCAGCTTAGCCCAGGCCAGGACGGGCTTGAGCCGCACCTCCTCCAGCTTCGTTCCCTGCCCCAGGCCAGATGCCGGGTGAGATGGGCCCAGGAAACATGGGCAGCCCCTGGGGCACTCGGGACTGGGGGAAGCTGGGCAGGGCAGCGCATGGAGGGGTGGCGGGAGGATGCCCAGGGCTGCGGGTCGGGAGCAAGGGGCACCAGCAGAGCTGTGGGGGAAGGCCTGGGGAGGGATAGGAGGGAGCCGGGAGGGGGAGCTGAAGGCCGGACTCACAGCAGGGATCTGCCCCCATGGGCCTGGGCTGTCCTCCCCCAGCACTCCTGCTTTGCACCCCCGGGCCGTGGCTCCTGGGGGAGGGACTCGGGCCTGTTACATGGGTCAGACTAGCTGAAGCTCCTGGCCCGGCAAACCAGGGATCCCCTGGCCCTGCGCTGCGGAGCGAAGGCCCTTCCCTGCCGGCTGTTCCACTAGGGCAGGGCAACCGGCAGCAGGAGCCCCAGGTGGGAAGCGCCCCTGCCAGCCCCAGGACCCCGTGAGCCCGGTCCCCACTCACCTGCAGGCCAGCGGCTGGGCCTGGGGCAGGGGCACCAGGCGGGTGCCGGCCCGAGCACACGACGCCGGCGTCCTCTCCGTGGTGGCAGTCACTCACGCCCCAGCCATTGGAGTCGCACTCGGCCAGGGAGCCCTCGGTGCCGGCACACTGCACGTTGTCCAGCCAGACAGGGCCTGACGCAGCAGGGGCGGGTCAGTGACGGGCCCGGGCCAGGAGCTCTGGCACCCCCGGGGCCTGGAAGGGGCCTGGGCTGGGACACCCCCCTCCCTCCATGGGCTCAGCAACAGGGCCCCATGCCAGCAGCCCCCGCTCCCAAAAGCATCGGGGTGGGGCTGCAGGGGGCTCACTGACCATGGGGTACCAAATGGGATGCCCCAAATTACTAGCAGACACCCCACCCCCTGGGAGAGCTCAGGGGCTGTGCTTCTGACCACATCACCACCACCACCACCCCCCCCCGGCTCCCACAGCACCCCCTGCTGGGACAGGCCAGGGCTGGAGTCGCTGGGAGCTGCCCCACAGCCAGCACTAGGCCTTGGGGAGGGGAGAGTTCTGCAGCTGGGGGGCTCTCATCCCCATATCTCCACCCACAGGAGCCCGCACTCCATTCTGGGGTAGCATGGCTGGGGGTATGCCTGGGAGCCATGCCCCGGCTGCCCTGTGAGCAGGGGGGCGCAGCCTTACCTTCCCCTCGGCCATACTTGGCGCTGTGGGCCCATGTCACGGCCGACTCAAAGCCCAGCTCCCTGCAGGCCACGCTGGCCACGTGGATGTCGAAGTCGTCGTCACACACGGTCCCCCACTGCCCATCGTACAGCACCTCCAGCCGCCCCTCGCCTGCCTGGCTCCTGGCCCCCACCAGCCGCACCTGAACCTGTGGGGGCTGCTGCCAGCTGGGGGTCGCCAGGCACAGCAGGAGCAGGGTGGGGATGGGTCCAGCCAGCATCACTGATCCTCCCCAGACAGACTCCTAGAAACAGCGTGGCATGGCAGGGGTCCAGGCCTGGCAGGGGTCCCCAGGGGCGCCCCATCCCACTGATTCCAGGGGGACAGACTGGCTCGGGGGCAGGGTTTGGGATGGGGCCTTTCCCCTCTAGGGGTGTGGCTGCGAGTCTCGCCCTGCTCCCCAGAGGCCGTGGACACACGCAGCCCCCGGGTGCCAGAGAGCAGGGCTGGTCCCACCTCACCCTGCAACCGTCACAGCCGGACACCCACCCCGAGCTGGCTGGACCCCACGCACGGGCAGGGACCCCACGAGCGCGAAGCCCTGGAGGACCGGGGGAGCGAGGGTCCCGGAAATCAACAGCCCAGGTAGCTGCTGGCAAAGATCCAAGGAGCGGCCGATGGGAGCCGGCGCTGCCCATGCCCAGCCCAGCGCGACCCAGCTCAGACCCCCGCAGGTGTCTCGCCCGTCTCCCCCAGAGCCCGCTGCCCAGTCGCTGGGGGGCTGCCTGGCCCAGCACCGACACCTCCCCCACCATAACCAGCGATAAGGTGACAGGGCTGCTGCCCCCCGAACTGCTCCCGGCGCCCCCAGGCAGAGCCCTTGCCACTCCCAGCCTGACCCCCCCACGCATCCTGTGCCCCCCACAACCTCCTGCCTACAAATCCCCCACATCCTCCCACCCGCCCTGTGCCCCCTTGGCCCCCACATCCCCCCGCCTGCCCCCCATATCCCCCTACCGGGTGTCCCCCCAACAGCCCCACATCCTGTACCTGCGACCCCCCAAGGCTCCCACATCCCCCACCCTGTGCCCCCCAACAGCCCCACATCCCCCGTGTGCCCCCAATGCCCCCCACCCTGTGCCCCCAACAGCCCCCCATCCACCCTGTGCCCTCCAACAGCCCCTGTGCACAGCGCCCGGCACCAGGGCCCCGATCCCGGCGCTCCCCGCCACTCACCGCGCGGGCCGGGCCAGGCCAGGCAGGACCGAGGGGACTGACGAGCTGCTGGGGCCCGGCCCGCCCGGCCTTTTATCCCGGCAGCCGCCCTGGCCCCGCTCCGGGCAGCCCCCGCCTGAGCCCGGCCCCGGGGAGGCTCCGCGCCAGCAGGTTCCGCACCGGCGGGCGCAGAGCCAGCGGGTCCCCGCGCCCCACCCCCCGAGCCGCGCCTGCCCCCCGCCGGGCCCCCCGGCGCCCCTGGTCCCCACCTGCCCCCCCGCCGGGCCCCCGCCTGCCTCCCGATGCGCTGGGCCCCCCGACCCCCGCCTGTCCCCCCATCGGGCCGCCTGCCCCCCGCCGGGCCCCCCGGCGCCCCTGGTCCCCACCTGCCCCCCCGCCGGGCCCCCGCCTGCCCCCTGATTCCCGGCGCCCCTGGTCTCCACCTGCCCCCCTGCCTGCCCCCCGACCCCCGCCTGTCCCCCCATCGGGTCGCCTGCCCCCCGCCGGGCCCCCGCCTGCCCCCCGATGCGCTGGGGGCCCCCCGACCCCCACCTGTCCCCCCATCTGGCCCCTTGCCCCCCGCTGGGCCCCCTGCCGGGCCTCCCCAGCCCCCACCTGGTCCCTGACCTTGCCGGGATGCCCTGGGCTGGGACCCCGCCTGCCCCCCAGCTGGTGTGACCAGAGAGCAAATGTGAAAAATCGGGAAGGGAGTGGGGGGTAATAGGAGCCTATATAAGAAAAAGACTCAAAAATCGGGACATCTGGTCACCCTACCCCCAGCCACCCACCTGCCCACTGAACAGGACTCCCTCCTCAAAACCTCCTGCCTGGGCTGAACCCCCAGCCCCCTACCTGGGCCGAGCTCCTGGGCCTCCCGGCTGGGAGTTCATGGGCACGCCCAGAAAGGAGCAATTTGCCGAAGTTAGAAACCCTCTGGGCCCGAATGAGCCACCCGCCAGGGGCCCGGTGCCCGGAGCCAGCCCCGCTAGGAGAGCCCCGTGTCACGCAGCCGGCTCTGGGCTCTCCTCACTGACCCGGGGGCCAGACTGGTCACTGGCTGGCATTGGCATCCGGGACCCCTGCCAGCCCTGCTCTGAGCAACCGAGACAGGGGGTGACCCGACCCCTACCAGGGTGGGGGTGGGCAGGGCTCTCGCCCCAGGCCACCTTTGTGCTGTTACTCTGGCCCTCCATCAGCCCTGCCAGGGCCCCTCAGCCCCAACCCGCAGCCCCCCGCTGTCCCAGCCATGGGGTCCCCCCGCTCTGCCCTGCCAGGGCCCCTCAGCCCCGACCCGCAGCCCCCCGCTGTCCCAGCCATGGGGTCCCCCCGCTCTGCCCTGCCAGGGCCCCTCAGCCCCGACCCGCAGCCCCCCGCTGTCCCAGCCATGGGGTCCCCCCGCTCTGCCCTGCCAGGGCCCCTCAGCCCCGACCCGCAGCCCCCCGCTGTCCCAGCCATGGGGTCCCCCCGTTCTGCCCTGCCAGGGCCCCTCAGCCCCGACCCGCAGCCCCCCGCTGTCCCAGCCATGGGGTCCCCCCGCTCTGCCCTGCCAGGGCCCCTCAGCCCCGACCCGCAGCCCCCCGCTGTCCCAGCCATGGGGTCCCCCCGCTCTGCCCTGCCAGGGCCCCTCAGCCCCGACCCGCAGCCCCCCCGCTGTCCCAGCCATGGGGTCCCCCCGCTCTGCCCTGCCAGGGCCCCTCAGCCCCGACCCGCAGCCCCCCGCTGTCCCAGCCATGGGGTCCGCCCCCGCTCTGCCCTGCCAGGGCCCCTCAGCCCCGACCCGCAGCCCCTGCTGTCCCAGCCCTGAGGTCCCCACAACTCTGCCGGTGCCGCTCAAGCCCGACCCACAGCCCCCTGCTACCCCCAGCCTGGGTCTCCCCTGACTGCTGTACCCCTGAATCTGTCCCCAGCGGCTCTCACTGCCATAGCAGGTGTTGGGATGGCATCTCTGGTGCCCAAGGGCCGCTGCTTGAGCCGCCCCCCCCGGAGCTGCGGTGCCCACGCGCTGGGACGGGGATAAACAGGAAGCTGCGTTCCCCCAGCTGTCCCTTGCAGGGATGTGCCAGTGGCCACGGGCTGTTTATTTGGCGTTTAAGGAGCAGGTTCCCGTCGGGAGGAGCCAGGAACCACAGGGCCTGGAATAGCCCGTGAGCTCATCACCACATCCGCGGGGGGGGCGGGGGCAGCAGTCGTCTCCCCCCGCTCCAAGCCCTGTACGGGGAGCAAGCGGCCCGGGGTGCCCACTGACTCCCAGCAGAGAGGAAAGACCTGCAAAGCCTCCTGCACAGTATGCCCAGTGCCCGGGGCTCCCAGGGCTCTCCACACTGCCCCTGCCCAGGGAACCACTGGCCCCGGTCCCCGCTGCATGGGGTCTCCCGCCGGGGCCATGGCACTGGATGTACACAGCCTCCAGCCAGCCCCAGAGCGTTACCTGCAGGCGGGGCCAGAGCCCGCACAGCTGGGGCAGGACGCTGGAGCAGAGCTGGGCAGTCATGGGTCGGGGACCCCGGCTCCCTGGCCTTGGGCTGCCAATCGCGCTCTGGGCCCAGGCCGTGACACCTGTGATTTATGGGTGACCAGGGAGCTCTGTGCCCACCCAGCCCCGGCTGGAGAGTGCAATTAAACAACCCCCCGCCCCGGCCCAGGGACGTGCACCCGCAGCCGGGGGGCAGCGCCTGGCCAGGCCCAGGGAGCCCCCACGTACCTCCAGTCTGGCTCGCAGGAGGTGCTTGGCTGCTAGGGGTCGGTTCGGGTCAGGGCAGGGGCCCTCAGTGCTGCTCTTGGGGGGTTGCCTGAGGGCCAGGGCAGGAGCTGGTTTGGGGCAGGGGGCTGCCCAGTGTCACTGCTGGAGGGCAGGGTGGAGGGGTGTGGGCTGGGTGCCCAGGGGCTGGACGAAGGCTCCCCGGCTGGCGCAGGCTGCAGACCCACCTGGTTGATGATTGGGGCAGAGGGCATTTGTCCCTTTGCATTGGGCTGCGCCCTGCAGCCGATTATGGTGCCTAAGGTGGCCAGGGGGCACCTGGGCTGGGCGCTGCATTAATTCAGCAGAGCGAGACCCGTGGGGTCAGGCAGCGGGTGCAGGGCCCACGGGCAGAGCTGGCAGGGCCCGGCTGACTGCTTGGCACGTGCTGGGCAGGGGGGCTGCAGAGCTCCCCAGTTCAGGGGTGGGGACAGGCCTGATGCCAGCTGCTCAGGGGATACTCTGCCCTGTGCCCTGGGGGGCCAGTCTGGGTGCTTGGTACCCGCTTTGCCCAGCTGTGGGTGGTGACACGCGAGGGGATGTGAGTCAGACAGGGCCAGGCTGGGCCAGGAGAGCCACAGTCATCACCCAGAGCGGGGGCGGGGGGAGCCCCCCATCACGGGACCCAGAGCTGCCAGCCAAGCGGCAAAGCTGGGGCATTTGGGGATGGGGAAGGGGGCTGCAGGGCAGCTGCCCGGAGCCAAAGGAGATTTCGGCAAGGGCAGCTCAGCAGCGGGAGGGGTATAAGAGGGCTCTAGAGAACTCCGCTGTACCTGGCTCTGGGACGAGAGTGGGGGCTAGTAGATTGCAGGGGGAGGGCTGGGATCCAGGACTCCTGGGTTCTCTCCTTGGCTCTGGGAGGGGAGAGGAGTCTAGTTTGTTGCGGGGGGGACAGGACTCCTGGGTTCTCTCCTTGGCTCTGGGAGGGGAGAGGAGTCTAGTTTGTTGCGGGGGGGGACAGGACTCCTGGGTTCTCTCCCTGGCTCTGGGAGGGGAGAGGGGTCTAGTGTTTTTTTTTTTGTGGGCGGGGGGGAGTTAGGCAGGACTCCTGGGTTCTCACCTAGCTGTACCACTGGCTCGGGCTGTTGGCAGCCCCCCGTGCCAATGGGACAGAGCCCACGGCTGGCTGGGGTTTCCTCACTCCAGCGAAGCTCCAGGACCTGGGGTGGCAAGGCCTCCCCACGGACACGTTCCAAGGGGGGGCTGTTACCGTGGGGGGCTGGCAGCCTGCGCAGAGCATTACGCGGGCAACACTGGACTAAAAAGGAAAACTCCCACACCACAGCGACAGCATTGCTGGCTGGCTGGCGGGGCCGGGAGGGAGGGGCTGTGGGGCCCAGGTACAGGCCGTGCAGCCCCGTGCACGGGGCTGGCAGGAAGCGCTGAAGGCACCCGGAGGGCCCAGGGGCTATTCTTAGCCAGTCAATATTGATTCAGCAGCTCAGGTGCAGCTGGGTCTGGAGCTGTTTTATTTCGGGCGGTGGGGGGCGGGCTGGGCGCTCAATCCAGCCTTGTCCCCGGGGAGGAAGAGGGCTGGGCAAGGCACTGAGCCCTGTAATCTTCAGGGACGGGGCAGCGTGTGGGGCGCTGGCTGGGAGGGCTCGGCTCATGGGTGAGGACACACCCTGCTCGTTGCCATGAGCGGGCAGGCTGGGGGTGAGCTGTGCCAGGGGTCAGCCCGGAGCTAGACACACTCACACCAAGGCCGGCCCTGGGGGGCCAGTGGGGGGGTTGGAGGGGCAGCCAGGGAGTGGGACTCTGCTCCAGCCCTGCAGGCGGGGATGTGGCTGGCACCGGGGGGCACCACTGGATCCATGACCCTGAGCAGGTAGCTGGGACCCTCCAGCCCGGGGCAAACGCTGGCCCAGGGACCCTCTGCACCCAGTGGCCCTGAGCACGGCTTCAGGAACCAGTGAACAGCAGCCGAAGTGCACCAGGGGACCTGCCCATGGGGGATGGGGGTCAGTGGCAGGGGCTCAGGGGGGTGTCTGGGCCCCCCCCACCTCGTGGGCTGGTGAATCATGGCTCAGAGCAGCCCTGCGAAGCAAAGCACCCCCCAGGGGCAGGGCAGGGGGGAAGATGGGGTGTGATCCACAATCCACCTGCACCATCTAGAGCTGCCTTGTTTCTTGGCTGCCCAGGGGAGCCGTGCCCAGCGCTCTGCCTCGGGCTCCCAGGAGGGGCAGGCAGGGGCCGGGCACCAGGATCCAGGCTCTGCTGCCGTGAGCCCCTGTTCTGGCCCGTTAGCACCGGAGCTGCTGCTCTGGGCACCCTGACGAGCCTCGGCTAGGGTGCCCCCTTCAGGCAGGCCCAGATCAGGGGCGGGCGCCGCACAGATCACCCCAGTGCCAGGGGCTGAGCCCAGCATCTCCCAGAATGCCC